GCACAGTGATAGATGTAAAATGTAACAAGTAATAATAGATAAGACTATAAGTGCACAATTATATATCTAGAAAATCTGTCATTTAAAAGTTAGAGAGGAATTTTTAAATTGCATGATAATCAAAAGCTAAAGAAGTGTGTTACAATTAGAGCTGTACTACAAAAAACACTAGTGGATGTCCTGTAGACTGAGACAAAGACAGGTAGAGCAACTGAAAGCAATGTTTGGAAGTGAGAAAAGGACAGGAAAGGTAAATGCACACACAATTGTACAATCTAGCATTTTTGTTAAGTTTGGTTTGTAATGCTACATTTTTACATAATTTAAGAACCAAATGCATTTATAACAACTATTTTATGTTTTTAAACATATATAGAGCAAATATTTCATTTTGGAGATATCAATAAGAGAGAGTTAGGGAGGGAGCTGGAAAGGAGTAGAGATCTTGCATGTCATTGAAGTTACGATGGGAGTATTCACATGGGAGTGTTACAATTTTCTGTTCACATAACCACAAAAATAAGATTATAGAAGGTAAGCTGAAGGAAAGGAATAAAATTTCTTTTATTCTATTTCAGCAGCTAAGCAAAAAAAAAAAAACAAAAAAAAAAACAGTGATGGAGGAATAGGGGGACAGTGTAAATCATGTGGCAAACAACTAGACATTTGCTCCTTATCAGCAACTGTTTTATATATGATGAATCAAACTTTCAAACTGAAAATCAGAGAAAGGCAAAATGAACCAGAAAAAAAATCCCTTAAATGTATACTATATGAAAGACACTTTAGCTCCAAAGTCACAAATAAAGGAAATGGATTCAAGAAGCTATTCCATGCAAATAATAATAATAAGAGTGGAGGCAATGCTAGTGTCAGATTAAAAGACTTCAAATAAAAGAGACAAAAGACATTATATGTTAATAGAAATTCATTAAAGCAGGTAGACATAACAATTATAAATATTTATATGCCGGTAACAGATTAGGAAATTATATGTGGGAATATTAAAGGGATAAATACACATTTATACAGTGATAATGTGAGTGTTCAATGTTTCATTCTAAATAATAAACAGTAATGACTAATTAAACAGAAGTTAAATACAGAGATACAGGAGTTAAGCAACATGACAAAGTAAAAGCTCTAATAAGCACTTAGCAAACCTTGCATCCAACCAGAAGGAACACATTGCTTGTAAGTGTACATGAGGCAGTCTCCAAGAAAGATCATTTGTTAGGTCACAGGTTAATTCTGCACAGATTTTAAAAGACAGATATGCACAATATCTTCCCTAAACTTAATTGGATATAATTAGAAAACAATAACAAGGATAAAACTGGAAAATTCACAAATTGTTAACATTAAGCACACATTATTAAATCACCAACACATTGTTGAAAGTATCAAAAAAATATCACAGGTAAAATTAGAAAATACTTACAGACAAATGAAAACAAAACCATTACATGCTAACATAGAATGTAATGAAAATAGTGTTCAGTTGTACATTTATACCTATAAATATTTTTCCAAAAAAAATCTCAAATTAAAAATGTATCATAAAATGTAAGGAGTTAGGACCAATGTGAACCCAAACTGGCAGAAGAAAGGCAATATTAACTCCAGAACTGAGATAAATAAAACAGAAAACAGAAAAAAAAAAAACACCAAAAATTATGCTCACAAAGGCCAACACATTTGACAAACTTTTACCTAGATTGTCTAAGATTGAAAGAGAGGACTCCAGTTAACACAATCAGAGATTGGGATATAAAAATTATTGCTGATTCTGCAGAAGTACAAAGGATTATAAGAGAAAAATTGTATGCCAGCTAGGTAGAAAACTTGGCCAAAATGGACAAAATCCTAGAAAAAAAAAAACTAATCTTTTTAATAGTAATTCATAAAGAAATGTAAAAGTAGAAGAGATCTATAATAAGATTGAATCAATAAAAAATAAATAAATAATTTTTTTAAACTCTTAGCAAAGAAAAGCCATGGGCTTGATGGCTTCACCAGTAAATTCTACCCTACATTGAAAGAACTAAAATTAACCTTTTGTACATTTTCCCACAAAGTTATACATAGGAAAGACCTCATAACTCACTGTATGGAGCTGACATTATGCTGGTGGCAGAGCTTGAAAAGACTGAACATGAAGAGAAAACAACAGACCAGTAACTCTATGCACATTGATGTCAGAGTGTGCAGGAAAATGATAATAAACAGAACTGAGTGGTAGATGGAATTATACACCTGCTTTGATGTATGAAAAAATCAGTGTAATATGCCACACTAGCAAATCAAAGATGAAAACATACTTTTAAAACATGATTGCCTCAGTGGATATAAAATAACATTTGAAAAAATTCAACCCCATTTTGTATATAGACACTAAGCAACCTACAAAGAAAACTATGTCAATATAATTAAATTTGTATGTACAAAATGTACAGCAAGCATATAAACTCAATGACAAAAGACTGAAATAGGTTTTTTGAGGTTCAGGATAAAGCAAGGATGGCAACTTTTACTATTTCTATTCAACATAGTAGTTGACATTCTAGCAACAGCAGCTCAGGTAAAAACTAGCACTCATCTATATTGCAAAAGGAAAGTAATATTTTCTTTGTTTACATGTTATATGGTGTTTTTCTTAGAAGACCCTAAAGACACACACACACACACACACACACATACACACACACACACACACACACTGGTAATCTCAAACTGACTTTGACGGTGTATGCCTGTAATCCTAAAACTATAGGAAAATGGGACAGAAAGACCACAATTTCGAGGCCATATTGGCCACATTACGAACTAGCAACACCCTGTCTTGAAACATACATACATGCATGCATGCACATATACATACATAACACATACATAATAAATACTTACATAATACATACTTATAAACATGCGTACAAAGGCTATGGATTTAGCTCAATGGTAAGGACTTAAATTCAACCTCTCATATACCCACAAAAAGTAAATCTCATAAATTCATCAAAATAGCAGGCTACAAATTAATCAGACTAAAATCATTTACACTTTATACACTAATAATGAACAACACCAAAACAAAATTAAGAAAATAATTCCAGTTATAATACTATCATGAAAATATGTAGGAATTGGTTTTAAATTCTTATAGTATGAAAATTGCAAAACAAAGCTAAAATAAATTGAAGAGGACAAATAAATGTCCAGATATGCCATCTGCAGGGATTGAAAGATTTGATATTGTCAAAATACCATTGCTAACCAATGTGCCCTACAGATTTAATGAAATAACTTTCAAAATCTTAAAATGTTTCTGTCTTGCAGAAACAGAGAAATCCTTTTAAAACTGTATGGAGAATTTTAGCGGATCCTGAATAGGCAAAACAATCTTGAAAAAGAGGTCAAAGCCAGAGCACTCCCAACTCCTGCTTTCCAAACCAATTATAAAGGTACAGCAATTTCTGCACTGTGTTAATAACATAAAGATAAACCAGGCATGGTGGTGCACGCCTGTAATCCTAGCACTCATACGGCTGAGGCAGGAGGATCTTTGCGAGTTCGAGGCCAGCCTGGGCTACAAAGTGAGCTCAAGGCCAGCCTGAACTGCATAGTGAGACCCTGCCTCAAAAAGAAAAAAAAAAAAAAAAGGAAAGAAATGTAGCTACACTTTTGGAATATAATAGAGATCCCCAAATAAACCTTCATATACATGCATATATAAATTTTTGCCTAGGGGCCAACAACATTCAATGGAGAAACGTATATATTTTCAGTGGTGGAAAAACTGCATATCCATATAAAAAAAATGAACATTTCTTGGAAAAATTAAAAAGAACTTCCAGTGATCTAGCTACTCTGATCCTGCACATGTATCCCAAGGAAATGCAATTAGTACATCAGAGACACACCTCCACTCCCATGTCTTCTGAAGCACGATTCACATTAGCCAAGAGTAAGCCAAGCCATGCTTACTCACAGAGGAGTGCATGTGTGGCATTTGGTACATATACATAATGCTACTTAGCCATAAAAAATGAAATCGTGTCATTTGTGGATTGGACTGAAGGACATTAATATTACATGATACAAGCCTGGCACAGAAAGATAAGCATCTCGTGCTCCCACTTACGTATTGAAGAAAAAATTGATTTTACAAAAGTAGAGAGTAAACATTACAAGTTCGGAAGGGGAGAGAGAGGAAGAGCAGGGAGCTGGATAACGATTCCAAACTACCGTTAGATGGAAGAATAAACGCTAGTACTTTATGGCATAGTAGGGTCTCTGTAGTTTACAACCCTGTATAATATATTTTACACAGAACTAGAAAAGCAGATTTAAGTTTCCTAACTCAAAGAAAAGATAAATGTTCAATGAGATGAGAGTAATTCATGTAAATGAATCAACTACTGTACCTCAAAAAGTTGAACAATTAAAATAATATTGAATGAAAAATGCAGTACATGTATAATGGAATGTTAATGAGCCATTGAAAAACAGCAAATTCTAACATGCTTCAGTGTGTGTGAACCTCGAGCACAGTATGTGTCGTGAAGTAGGAAAACAAACGACATTTCCCACTTATAAAAGGTATTGGAAGTAGTGTGAGTCCTAGAAAGAAGGTCGACTGGTAATTGCCAAGGGATGGCAGAGGGGAGGGTGGGGAGCTAGTGAATACAGAGTTTCAGATTGGGAAGGGAGTTCCAGAGATGAACTGGTGTGATGACTTGAACATACTTAATACCATTTGTACACATGAAACGGTTAAAGCAGAAATTTTTCTATGAGCATTTTACCACTATAAACACAGTTAGAAAAAACGTGTTCCTTTTAGTCACTGTGCTCTTATATGTGATACACTTTTCACATTAATGTAATTTTCATATTTGTAATCACTGGGTGTGGCAGTGCATACCTGTAATCCCAGCACTCAGGGGGCTGAGGCAGGAGGATTGCTATGACTTTGAGGTCAGCCTGGGCTAAATAGCGAGTTCAAGATCATCCAGCACTACATAGTGAGACCTTGTATCAAAGAAAAAAAATAGTTTATATTTGTGATAATTCACATATACTCACACTGCCTATATAATATCTGTCTTCATATTTTGTCGCCTATATCTCAATAGTCATTAATAAATTAATGTAAATATAGAAGTTTATGCATGTATAACTTAATATTGAGATTATGATTGTTCAGAAAACTCAAGATTATGTAATAAGATCAGGTTCCTCTTCTATGGTAAATATTTATACTGGGTAAGAAGGTAGAAGAAATTTTATGACAAATGAAAAACATCAAAATTCATATAATGTTTTGAGATCCTATCAGCTTTCAGAAGGAATTCTGACACATTATTATATACAGTTCTTGCATGCATTCTCAGAGTTAATAATCCTGTGATATCTCATTTGCAGTTACCTTAAAATCATTTTACAGATTTTAACAATTAACTAGTTGGAAAGACGTACTCTTAAAAATATTTTCTATTTAAAATTCATCCCTTTACTAATTTGCTTAAAAGGCAAATCATTTCTCTTTTACCCATCTATGTGTTCATCTCTTTTCAAACACTGATAGTCTTAAACAATTTTATTCCTTAAACAATTTTAGTTTTGATGTCTTTAAGACCACTTGACTTGCTTCTACTTTTACCTCAACAGTCATTTCTTTGTATAAACACAGTCACTATCTCCCTTTATTCATCTCTGCTAAATATCTTCTCAGTGAACACTTCCCTGATTAACATTTGAAAAAGAATTCTCTTCTACCAAGTTACTACAAAGTCATCATTTTCATAATTTGTTGGATATTTCTGACTACTTAAAACTATTTTCCATGAAACCATATAAATCAGCTTAATTCTTTATAATCTGTTTTCCAATTAGACCAAAGTCCTTTGAGGGTGGGAACTTTTCTCCACGTACCTCTTGTCTCACACAGTGAGAACAGGGACTCAAGAATGATTTGTTGGATAAACTGCAAGACAGAAAACATTATCATGACAGGAGGTCATCTTTGGCAGCTGTAAATATTTCAGACTTCCTGAGTACCAGGGAGCTGGACTTTTAAAAATTTTTTACATAAGATCTCATTAAAACTTATTCAGGAGAAAAGAGTAATTCAAGTGAAAGGAATGTCTTTCAGAAACATGAAATATTTTTAAGAGTTGAAGTAGGGCTTGCAGCACTGATGACTGACAATGTTACAGATGGGACCTTTGCATATGACAGTGAATGAAGCAGAACCAACTGCAATAAGCTAGTTCATTTGCAGTTCGTTGTTTTCATAAAACATACCCATCAATCAACTGAAACCAGCTGCTCAGTTTTCAGAAGCTGGGCTGAAATTCTTTACTGAAAAGGATAGTAAACTCGAGACAAAAATACATGTGAGCCTATAATTCAGAATCACTCTGATAAGCTTTCATTAAATGAGGGGAGAATAAATTATTTTTTCCATATTTCTTCTCAATTTGTCCAGGATGTTAATATCCTTCAAGGGCTACCAAAAAAAAGAAATCTTGTTTTTTATGAATCCTTCATGTTGTTTCTCATGTGTGGATATTTTAAAAATAATCCCAAGGAGATTTTTCTTTCAAATTAAAAATGCAAGTTTAATCACAAGATCACATGTCAATATCACTCACTCACTTAACTCAATTCATGCCTATAACCAACTGTAAAGTGCATAATTTAGAACTCAGTTGCAATTAGTTAAGTCTTCTCCTGACTCCTTAAGTATGTGCCCGCCACTTTTAGTGTTTTTTTTTACTACAAATTTTTTTTATCATATTCTAGATTCTTCAGGGACTTAGGATTTTCAAAATAATTTTCTGTGATCAATTATTGCGCTCAGAACAGCCCAGTTATCCCTCGTGGACTTACGGAAGTTTGGTTAACTTTGTAAGCAATTTTTGATCATAGCTTAAACTCTATGAGTGTCTCCTATAAGCCGACTTTTCTTATCCACAGCTGTCTGAATAAAAATTATAGTGTTCTGTGCTTTACCTCTTTATTTATATATTGTAATAAATACATCTGGCAAATGCATTCAGATCCAAAAGAGGCTTATGTCTTCACTCCAGACTTGGATTAGCCATACATTAGCCACTTTCTCGGCCTTAGATCAATCCCTACTATCAGAAGACCCCTTATTTAGTAGCACTAATGGGACATGTGAATTTGCATTTTTCTTAAGCTAAATCACTGTGCAGTGTTGATAACCCATGATCTAAAACTGGACAAATTATGTTCATTTCAATGAATAGGATGCAGATTCCCTGTCTGGAGAGACTCTACTTTAGAAATGGCTTAGTTTTAGAAGTAGTAGACATGGCTGTACTGAAGTAGCTCTGAAATTTTTCCACAAGATTTGTTGATATGAAAGGAGAATGCAAAGGTGTACTTTGAACTGGTGTTGTATTTCTTCTAGTAACTTAACACCTACAATGTGGCAAAATAATTTAGATTCAAAATAAATCATGCCCTTCCTGCACTCAAGAGATAAAATCCAAGTGGAAATGTAGACATAAAAGTAGTAAATAAGAGTAATACACAAAAGTATGTACAAATATAATTAGGCGTCTATAGGATGGTCCATTAGAATAGGATGAAATATTATTTATGTAACACTATATGAATAATATTAATTTTTATTATCATAGATCTTTAAAGCCAGTTACTAATCTTCAGTAGTTCACTAAAAGAGACTGTAGGATGTGAGAAACACTGACTTTGCCTATGTCAGTAACATCTTTAGGGAAGAGGCAGTTTCTACATGAATCTGCACTGCCATGCTGAATTTGGCAACATTGAATAATTATTTGATGGTTAAACTTAATTGTCAACTTGATAAGCTTGGGAGCTGCCTTGGGGATCAGTGACGTAGGCACTTCTGGGTGTGTCTGGTTGGGTCATGGAGACATGACCTTGGGTGCTATACTTGGTCCCCAGCTCCTTTCTGGCTGGTCACGTTCCCCTGCTTTACTCTTCTGTCATCATGAGCTGAGAAACTTCGCTTCACCACCTCACCATCTTAATCACATTACATATTTTAGTTGGGAAGAACTGTGATTCTACGAAAATTCAGAATCTTGGCAAAACTATTGTTCAGAAGCAACCACGATATTTAAATTATTTTTTTCAACTAGACAATTCACTGGTTTCTTTGCCAAATTCCATCAACTCAAAGGTACTTGACTTTTCACAGCTGAGTTTTAAGCATGAGGAAATTATAAATGGAAACATATTGTGTCCTGTGATCTTGGAGACAGAGCTGAATGGGAGATTTTTCCTACAGAGCTGAATGGGAGATTGATCTCATTCTCTGGTTTCCCCATTTTGATAAAGAATTTACTATATTGTAACCAAAAGTTAAAAAAATTTGTGTAGCCTCAGTGAAAAGTGTAATGCTTCATAACTACATAATAGCTTCATCAACAAATAAGAGTCTGCTTCCTGCAGTGAAGCCACAAATATGTTGAAAGGCCCAGCTTTCTACAGAATGTACAAAGATTTCTGTTCAAGTCACTTTTGGACCATTTTCCTCCTTTGTGGTGGCAGTGGTTGTCTGGCTGCATGGGTGTATATTTAAAATACATCTTACAGATTTTTAAATAATGCCTTCTTCAGGAGAAAGGAAAACCAAATTTTTCCTATGCTATGAGCACTAAAAGCACTTCTCTGATGACTTATTTATTCTCTTTTTTCTTTAGCAATGAAAGATTGATTAAATAGGGTGAAAAGGGGGATTTTTTAAAGAAAAGTAGAAAAATATATGAAAACTTTTATCATCCAGTTTGTTTCACATTCATTTATTATGAATTCCATACATTTTTGATAGGCAAGGTAAGATCTCAACTGGAATTATTCATACTGGGTTAAAAGAAGCCAAGCTCGTTTATCTTAGATGTGCTTCATCGACGGATATCAGGTCCATATCATTTACTTTTTGCTCTCAATTTTCTTTTGATTACTCACTCCTAGTGTGCTCCCAGCTCTAAATCATGATAATTTCTTTTTAAAAATCCTTCTAGGACAGACTTTCTGGAGGGCAGGTATCTTGAGGGTTTTCATGACCTACTTATATTGATTAGAAGATTATGTGATGACTTTGGCACATTTTCCCCAGAGAATCTGCCTCTGATCTGTGTCTTTCTTTTCTATTTGGGTCTCTATTAAAGAAAACAAGCTCAATTTATTCCTTTTCATTTCAGGATTAAGTTTCACATTCTTCAGTAAAATTACTTAAAGGATAATACTGATATATTTTCAGGAGTTTTCTATGGTACCTTACTCTGTTTCTAAGGTGAATATTTAAATAAATTGGTATGCTCTTTTTAATCTCCTTGGGTTATTATGAGATCACATTTTGTTTTTTCATCTGCTAAATATGAGTTTTACCACTTTATCTCTAGATAAGAGTATAATTTAATCATACTGGAAAAATAGGCTACTTTCAGAAAAAAGTTAAGATTCCAAACGTAAATTCAAAGATGTGTTGAAATTATTTATCTTATTCTGAAACTCTTGCACATGATTTAAAAGCCATTAAGGGTAAATTCTTTATCATCTGTAAAGAACTTTCTTGATTGTAGATCTACTTAATTTTTAGGGAAATTATTAGTTATTAATTATCTAGCAATTGTAAATATGCTCTTCTTTTGTAGGATTTTGCAAACATCTAAGGTCATCCTCTTTTCCAACTCCAAACAAAATAATCATAATTTCTCACTTTTTTCATTTCGATTATTGGTAAAATACTTCCTTGTGTCAGTTTCATGTTTTAATTACTTCTAAAATTTGCAAACCTCAGTCCTGCCAATTACTAGAACGCAGGAGTCTACCTCTCAGAGTCTCCACTGCACATATATTAATCACTTCCCACGTCTTTAGTTCACTAGTTTTCAAGTGTCATCTTTATGTGCCAGTTACTGCATGGGATAATCTGCAAAAGCAACAGAATATATCTTACCTGCTCAATTAAAATTTTTTTTTTATAAATTTACAGAGAATATAAATAGTAAAATTGATTCTTTAGATTTATAGAAAGGCTAAACACAAAAATCTTATATAGTTCATATATAAGGATTTTTTAATAACAAAAATGAGTTAGCATTAGAAAGGCCTTTGATTCTGAAACCCTCTAGCTGGGAAGTTTACTGCCTCAGTGGGCCTTCCTTGCTGAGGGTCTTTATTTCTATTTCATGGATGACATAGTCGCACACAGCTGCTGGAGTTTACCACACTCCTTACCACTCTGTTCCATCAGCCAAGCCCATACGTAAGGCACATTCCCTATGTAGGAAGCATTGTATACAAATAGTCTCATCTAATGATCAGTTCCGTAAAATATGTCACAGTTAATACCAGTTCACATATTAGAAAATAGAACTTGACATTGTTAAGTTACCCCGAGTCACAGAGCCAGTATGGAGCCGAGTTGGGACTGAACTCTGAGGCGCGTGTGAGTGCCACGTCAACATTCCAGCCCTCTGTGATCCTCTGCTTATGCTTTATGACTACAGCTTGTGTCACATCAGATCTGCACCTCACATTATGTCCTTTCCTTCTAGATGCTGTGACAGTTTCTAGTACTCAAGTATTTAGTTTGCCTTTTTGTTCTGAAGAGATAAATCTTTGTACCAAAATGAACAAGAAACATTTTTTTAATTCCTCCAGATTTGGAATTAACACAAATTTAAATGGTAAATATCAGCTGTTATAATGTGGCACCTGGGGAGAAATTTTGCTTAATTTTACCCTTTTCACTAGAATTAAAAAAAAAATAAACAATGAATAACACAAAATAACTATCACTTGGAAGGTACCTTATATTACCTACTGTCAGGAGGTTTTCTTAAAAAAGTATCTAGTTCAATGAATTCTTTCGCTTAAGAATTTTCACTTATATGATTTGAAGCTAATACTGTCACAGACAGAAAAACTAACAATTGTAAGGTTGTGTCTTAATACCAAAAGCCAGACTCAAAACATTTGTAAAGCAGTATAAAATTTCAGAGACTTTCTTTCACCTTTGCTCCTTTAATAACCCAGTGTTGTGGCAAATCTGTCATCTCACTTCCCAAGGAGCCACTATCATAAATTTAAGAAATTATAAGAATTATTATACAAAAGAAGTGAATATACATCCAAAGATTAATCTTACCCTATTAAAATTGTTATGATCAAAAATATTATTATTTTGCTTGACAGATTTCATTTAATTGACATATTTGAAGTGGGAAAGTAGTTTGAATAATTTTATAATGTTGATTACTAAGTGAAATTACAAAATACTTCTTTGGGGATGCCAATTTTTTTGTTTTAGGAATGCAATCCAGCTCCCAGTTACAGCACTCTGGCATTTCTTTGAAAAGTACTTATTTGCCTCCTGACTAGAATCATGTGCTTTCAATTTCTTTTGCATTTTACCACTTACTTCTACAGCATTCTTTTATGGCTGAACGACTGCCTGGCAAAATAGAAACTGAACCACAGTATGTAATTAAGTTCTTTGCACAATGGAAGTTAGTCATCGACACAATTAAACCAACTCTGGGATCCAGCACTGAAGGAATGAACAGTATAACCAAAGAGCGCTCGTTCGAGTGAGGCTTCCCTAAATCATAAGAATGAAAGGTTCTCCTTGTATTTTTTATTTAGTTTTGTTTTTTTGGTGTTGCAAGAAGAATCCAAAGTAAATTCTTCTTCCAAACTGAAAAAGGTTTTCTCAAATGGTATTTTATTTCTTTTATTTTTAAAGTAATTTTATTTTACTCTTATGAACCCCGAATTGAGATTTAAAAATACTGTTAGCAAGATTCAAAAATGTAGAGATTAGTATTGCTCAAAGCCTTGAAAAATTATCTTAAAGCATAAAATATATTTTTTAAAAACAGTAAATCCAGAAAACCAATAAATTCATTATATTTTGTATAATGTATAGCATAGCAATAAAATATATGAAATAATATATTTTAGTACATTTCAGTTCTTTAAAATGTAACACTTCTCATTAGAAATAATTTAAAGTTTATCTTTTAATGCAAAATTCAATTTCAAGTTGATAGTCCATGCTACTCTTTTCATTGCTGGGACAAAATACCCGACACACACAAGTTAAAGGAGACAGGTTTATTTCACCCCATAGTTTGCAGAAGTTTAAGTCCATAGCCAGATGAATCCAAGGCAAAGTAGCCTGCCAGAGGAACATCACAGAGAAGTAGCATTCCAGGGCAGGGCAGGCAGAAAGCAGGAAGCAGTGAGCGTGCCTTACGTCCCTCCCTTTATAGTCCATCCAGACTGCAAGCCTACTGATTGGGGCCACCCACACACAGGGCAGTTTCTCATGATCCACACACTGAGTTATGCACCATGCTAAACCCATCAGTGGACAAATTTAGTTATCATACCCATGCAATTACCACACACCCATGATCCGGCCACCTCCAAAGAGCCCCCCACCTATGAATGCATGAGGCTTTGCAAGGACAACTAGATACAAGCCATACCAATAGTCATACGTATAAGATTATTGATTAAAATCACACTCATAAGATTTAGTGGAAGTATTTATGAAGTCACACAAAAAGAAAGAATAACATAAGAAAAGAAACATCGCAAAGTTGTGATAACAGTGTTTCACTGACTACAATTCTTCACATAATACAGATTTATGTAAAGAAGACTGAATATGAAATAATCCCATTTGTAACTGGCCAAAGTCATTTTGTTTGATATTTTTGCTGTAAAGTTTTTATTATAATAATTAGAACATAAAAACTTGACCAAAATCAAATGTGAAAATGTGTTTTGAGAGCTCCAAATATATGCTCTAATAAATATTTCTGACTACATTTTCACCAAGTATTCATTTTTCCTTTGATAGAAGATCATAAATTCTTACTGGTTGCGAGAAATGGAATGTGTTCATTTGACTTACTTCTAGAAGCATGACAGTGTTTTACAAAATTTAAATGTAAAGACAACAGTTCCTAGGAGAATATTCGAAAAATCACAGAAATCCTTTGAGCACAGCTTGTCTGGAAAATGTTTTGAAAATTGCCTGTGATCACATTGCATCCATTTCTCTTTGCAACAGCTTTAGGTTTTTCCATAGACCATACAATATTTCTTTTTTTCCTTGAGCATTGATATCCTTGCATTGTACTTTTCTCAGTGTTTCACCATAGACATTTTCTCCAAGAAATTTGTCTATGTGTTGAAGTAGTAATGAAATCCTGAAGATTAGTATATTGCTTCATCAGGCCAAGCAGGAAGGAGGAGATCTCATAGTTATGAGACCTTTAGGCTATTAACATTCTTATTGAAGGGTATTGCATTTTTTCTTGAGATGTGGAGGCATTTGCTTCCTTTAATTGTAGCAGTGAGAGGTCACAGCAGGTAGGTCTTAAGACATATAGTCATATCATCTCTTCTAATTTTAAAAAAGTTATAATAATCCAAGTCACTAAAAAGCAGAATAGAAGATACAATTAACTATACCACAATCAAGTTAGAAGTGACACAATTAGGCTGTAAGGGAGAAGTCAGATTAAAAAGTAATACTTGCCTTGGATTAAAATGCTGGCCAAATAGCACTTACTGGCTTTGTAGCTCATATAAGTTTGAGAAACTTTTGACTAACTGAGGAAGGAGATGAGGTTTTGTATCCAATGGATACCATACAGGCTGCTCAAGGAAAGGGATTAGTGCACTATCTAGATAACTGGGCAGAAAGTGGTCAGAAGCTATAGAAAGGAGTGAGTAGCAGGAAAAAGGCTATGGCATGGTTGTTCTGGCCAACATCTGGGTCTGGACATTCATTCTCTTGAAGCTTGGTTGTTCTTTAGACTTCAATGGAAACAATCAAAATGTGTGCATGGCCTCTCGCATGAACAATTTCATGGGAGATGACTGTCAGCACCTTCCTCCACAATTATTTATTGGGTGCTTGTTGCCTCTCATATATTATGTCATGTGAATTTTGATGTCTAGGAAGATGTTAGATTCTATCTAAAGAAGTAGTTGTGTAACACAGGGGCTTGTGGAGACCAAAAAAGGTACAAGTGACATAGACTGATAAATTCAGTGAATTTCCTGGAAGAAATTTTGATTGCTGCTCTGCAGTAATGAAAGACAAAAACAGGTACAAAGGAGGAAGATTGGAAGGTACCAGGTAGCACATGTGCAGGCCGAAGTCAAGGAATGAGCATTCCAATATACTAAAACTTAAGTGTAGAACGTAACAGAGAAAGCAAAAGTCAGACCTTAAGGCACATTTAACACAGGAGGGAACACAAGCCTAAAATTTATCTTCTAGGTAACAGTGAACTGTCAAAGTATTTCAGAGGTGATATTTTGAATTGTCTTTCAAGAGATTTTTCTAGGCACAGTGAAGAAAATTATTTAGTGGGGAGGAAAATTAGAGGCAGAGTAATCAGTTCAGATGTGAAAGTTAGCAGAGTAGCAAGGGTTTCTTTCTAAAATAATGACTATAAAATCATACTCACTTGCCTAAATCTTCATGTTCATATAAATAAAACAATTACTTTGTAAGTATGGCTGCTCCCTTTTCACGTTAAAGTGCGATTTTCTCCTTTATTGCTTCAAATTAACTCTCAATTTCTGGATGTAGTTAGGTTCTGTGAAATCTGGATAAACCTTAATCAAAAGATATATTCACCAAAAAAGACTACACATTAAATAAAAAGAAGATTTTTAGGAAAATTTCTCTCTGGGGTTAGGGATTTAGCTCAGTGGCACAGCACCCACCTGGCAAGCATGAGATCCTGAGCTTGATTCCCAGGACACAAAAAAAGAGATAGAAAGAAAATTTCTCTCCCATCCAGCAGTTGCTTACTAAGCATAAGGAATGATTCATGCATTTGTGGGTTGCTGTTAAATTGTAAGGATGGTTTGACAATTGAGACGAAAATATTATATTAGCAAAATATTCAACTTTCCTATTTTATGTGTATTTCTGGTGAATATATTTTCTCTAATAACACTAAATTATGCTCAGAGCTTTTTCAGTTCTGTGTTACTGTGAGTCTTTGGATTCCAATCATGTGTAGATCTGTAACTTGTACATACACCAGTCAGAAATTGAAATACAACGATGAATCAGAGGACATCTGTTTTCAACACTTAACATTTTACCTTATGTCTCTAAAATTCTCTTTGTTCTAATACAAAGTCAATTATATCTCATACATTCTGTAGCATCTCAGTTCATTTTTGTTTAGTTGTTCATAAAACATATGTATGCTAACAGTTCCAAATGATCTATTGAACTTAAAATGAAAAAAAGGACATAAGTCTTTCAACCTTTGGAATGATGATTTTAGATAAAAATAAAACAGTTGTCTCAAAACATATGCACAAAAACCCACAGCAACAAGATCATGCTAAGCTTCATGGTGATCTGAAGGTCTTCTCACTCATTCGTT